TGTGGTCGGCATGACTCAACGCCAAAGGCGCACGGAACGCTGTTCCCTTCCCACCAAAGGTGGTTCCTATTTTTCTGCTTGCATTTTTTACCTGCTTTCGAACTGCTAGGTTGGCAGAAGCTCACCCCATTACCCCATTAACGACCACAATGGAGTGGAGATCTTTCACTGCTAAGCAACGGGGTTGTTAAATGAGTCACACCCTATTTTACAGTCGTAAAATTGACTTTGACTCACTTAACAACTGTCTTGTTTAGCAACATTTAATTCGGATCCCAATTGTCATAAATTGAGGACTAGATACATACAGTTAGTCCTCGACCTACAACAGTTCATTTAATGACCGTTCGAAGTTCCAACGGCGCTGAAAAAAGTTGACTTATGGCCACTTTTCACACTTATGACTATTGTTGCATCCCTCCAACGTCATGCAATTTGCATTCGGATGCTTGAGAACTGACTCACATTTATGACCGGTTGCAGCATCCCAGAGTCCTGAGACTTCCCCTTTTGGTGACCTTCTGACAAGCAACGTCAACGGGGAAGCCGGATCCACTTAACGACTACGTGACTCATTTAAGAACGGCGGCGATTCGCTTAACCAACGTGGGCGAGAAAAGTCTGGTGGCGCAGCAGACTAATAGCCTGTTATTAACATTCAGCTGCCTGCAATTACTGCAAGTTCGAATCTCCCCAGGCTCAAGGTTGACTCAGCCTTCCATCCTTTCTAAGGTAGGTGAAATGAGGACCCAGTTTGTGGGGGCAATAAGCTGACTTTGTATAAATATACAAAAGGATGAAGGCTATTACTTAGCGCATTGTAAGCCGCCCTGAGTCTCCGGAGAAGGGTGGCATATAAATCAAATAAAAAAAAAAAAGTCGCAACATGGGGCAAAACTCCCTTCACAACAAACGTCTCCCTTAACGCCATAAATGTAGGGGGGCTCAATTGTGATCGTAAATCGAGGAGTCCCTGTATTCATCTGGATTTTTTTTTTTGTTTCGCATCGTGGCGGGGTGATGGTGGAGAGAAACTGCTTGGCTTACTTTCCTGCAGAAAGAAATAGCATTCGGGCATCTTAATGTCAGACTGAGGGCTGCATCAACTGGACTGCCACGGCTCCCAGATGCCTGGAGGACATTATTAAATACATGCAGAAAACGTCTATTCATATCACATTAAGAATTACAAAATCTGTTGGCAACCTTGGAGAGGTTGAGAGAGAGAGAGAGAGAGAGCTGCATCCAAAACCATTTGGGAGCGTGAGCAGGCCCAGGTGGTGAAGTAATGAGACTCCCTGTCAGTTCTGTACGGTGGTTGAATGAAATGTAAATGTGTGTTAAATCAAAGTTGGGTTTTTCTACTGTTATCGATCGGCCTTTCGGATGGCAGCCTTAGTGTCCGTTTGCCCCCCATTCCCCCCCCCCAAAAAAGGACCTGCACTTTTGAATCTCTATATCTCTCTCTGGGCACAATGAGATTATATCTGCCGAACAAAACTCCGCATTGGCGACAGGAAGGGCATCCGGCCAGTAAATACTCGGCTTCGTTCAGTTGCCCAGACTCCACTCCTCAAGGGATTATCGGGTCATTAAAAGAAGATGTTGATACAGGTAGACCTCGACTTACAATTACAAGTTTGTTTAGTGGCCATTCTAAGTTACAACGGTGAGTAGCAGCGTTGTTAAGTTAGTAGCACGGTTGCTCAGTGAATCTGGCTTCCCCATTGAATGTGCTTGTCGGAAGGGTTCACAAACGGGAATCGCAAGGACTCCGGGACACTGCAACCGTCATAAATACGAGTCGGTTGCCAAGCGCCTGAATTTGGATCGCGTGACCACAGGGAGATGCAGCTGCAACGGCCGTAGGTGTGAAAAACGGCCGTAAGTCACATTTTTCAATGCCGTTGTAACTTAGGAACACCAAATGAACGATTGCAAGTGGAGAACTACGTGTATTGTAAACCATACCTAAACCTGAAGAGACATTAGATGCAGGGGTGGGCTGCTGGGGGTTCGCAGGGGTTCGGGAGAACCTCTAGCTAAGATTCTGTGCAGTTTGGAGAACCTCCAAATCCCACTCCTGGTTGGCCTCACCCACCCTTCCCCACTCCTCATGCGGCCCGTTTTGGATGCAGGTACGTTCAGGGCGAGCGTGGAGGCTCGGGGTGGGTGAAAATGGGCCTACCGGAAGTTTGGGAAGGCCGGAAATGGGATGGGCCTCTGGAGCCTGGGGAGGCCGTTTTCGCCCTCCCGGAGGCTCGGGGAAAAACCTCTGAATCCCGGGGAGGGCAAAAACGCCCCCCCCGCCCCACCGTGATGCAGGAGGCCGACTAGGCCACACCCACCATGGCCACACCCAGCCAGCAACCAGGCAGAGAACCCCTTGTTAAAATTTTTGAAGCCCACCCCTGATTAGATGTTTTCCTGTCACCAAAATGTCATTTTCTCTTACACCAGAGATGGGAACTGTGGTCCCTTCAGGACTTGTGGACTTCGACTCCCAGAATTCCTGAGCCAGCCAGCCAACCAGCCACGGCTGGCTCAGGAATTCTGGGAGTCGAAGTCCACAAGTCCTAACAGGGCCACAGTTCCCCCACCCTTCTCTTACCCAGACAATTGCCATTTCTCCAGCTGACCTCCCAGGTCACCTTGTTTGCAAACGATCCTGTACCGCCGCTTTCGAAATCCAAGTTCATCCGCCAAACATAATAAGGTCGAGACAAGAGCCTCCTTGTCACTCTATTAAGAACCATTTCAATTTCACCTCCAGCAATGCTGATATTTATTTTTACACCGTTCCAGGCACCTATCCAAGCCTTGCTGGCCAAATCGAAGGAGAGAGCGAGAAAGATAAGAGGTAGGTTTTTGAGACAGCATTTAATTACACACAAGCAAAGGCAGAATTGATGTTGAGATGGTGGGGGGCGTGGGGAGGACAAGGGAAGGCACAGCCAAACCTAGTATGAAAATATCTCTTTGTGCTTTTGCTGTTGTGGTTTTTTTTTTTTTTTTTTGTTTTAAAGCTTGGGTATTTACAGACAACGGAGAGAGGATATATAAAGTGGAGCACAAAGGTAGCGTGTGAACATGGATGACCCAAGAAATGGCTCGGTCCCCATTACGGGAGAGCCATTCCTTTCAGCCTTCCACCCGAGATCATTCCAAGAGACGGAAAGAGGACGTGGTACACACAACCAAACCACGGAATCCACAAGACGGACAACCTCAAGCAAATTCCCGGATAATTCCTTAACCCAAGAGTTCTTTTTAAAAGAGACCTTGGGGTGGGGGGGGGAGGCTCCAAGGATGCTAGAAGACACCACAACAACAGGACATTTGAAGTCCCAGATTCCTGGAGCAAAGGGACGGCCGAGGGAAGCCCGGCCTTTGAAAGCAGCCGAGTCTCTTGCAAATCAAAGTCGAGAGCACCAATCTCAGTGGAGTCCCGTCAGAGAGGGTATCAAAGTCTCCATCCCTCACCGGGAGTCCCGTTTCATTCCTTTCCTGCACTGCTCGCAGTACCAGGTATTACCATCCAGTTCGCATCTCCTCCAACATTAAAAAGACAAAAGATTTTAAAATCCTTCTAAGGCAGTGGTACCGAAAAGATCTCTCCAGACGGGGCAGTTTCGAAGGCCTTGATAGTTTTCTCCTTAGTTTTTCCCTTTTCCCAGGGACAAACCCCGTTGGTTCTTCCTCCGATGCCCACCTGCCCTGACAGCTGCCTCTCGTTCCTTAAGCAGGGCTACTGTCGGCAGAGTCCGTAAGTTTTAAAATAAGACATTTAAAATCCTTCAGAGAGTCTTTGGGAGGGAGCACAGTTCTCTCGCTGTCCCCAGAACGGCTGTCCAGACTGAGCTCACACGTAGACAGCCGTTTTGGAGATGATGGAGCCGTCGTGCTGCGATTCCATGTCGTCGTAGTCGTAGCCGTGTGGGTCGGGGCTGAACCGCAGGATCGGGCCCAGTTGGTCGAATCGTTCCTCCTCATCTTCCCGGTGCCGCGGGGCATAGCCGTAGGGAGGGTGCCGCCGTTCTTCGCGCTCCTCCTCTCTGTAATCGTCCTCATCCTCATCCTCCTCCGGTTTTCGCCCCGTGGCGGGTTTCAGCGGCCGGTCGAGTTCGGTGAAGTCGTGAGTCTGGGGCTGAGCGGTGCCGTTGCCAAAGGCTCGAGTCTTGGGGTCAAAGGAGCCTTTGGAAGCTCGGGGGTGCCGGCGGCGCAGGATGAAGAAGACTATGATTCCCAGAACTGCCAGGGCCAGGATCCCCCCCACGATACCCCCGGCCAGGGCTCCAACGTTGCGGCTCTGACTCTTCACCGGCTGGTCTGAGTAAAGAAAGGAAGACGGGGAAGTCACTCCGAGAAATGCCAGTTGTTAGTAATACCAGCACTGGGGAAGGGGCAGAGCCTCAACTGGATCCAGGAAAGAGAAGACCGGGGGGGGGTCCTCTGGGACCCTGCCATCCACCACCATCATCATCAATTATCACCATCTCTTGCAGGGGGCCAAGAGGCCCCGAACGTCCAAAGAGAAACTAGGGTATCAGAGGGTTCAGAAAAGCACCATTTGTCCCATATGTGAGGCGCCCCAGATATCCTTCTCCCCATAAGCTGTTCTGCACCCACAATGCATCTCTGGCTCCAGGCCTATCTGAGCTCAGGCCTTTTTAACCGCCATGCCTTGGACTAATTAAACCTCACAGTGCTTCCCGACATCCTTTTTCGCAAAGCACCACGCGCTGAATTTGTGACAGAAGAGGAAGAATTCAAATATTCGGTCCCCCCAGATTAAGTTAAAAAAAAAAAAGACATCGATTATTCCACCGTGCATATGATGAGACTCTGGACTCGCGCACCAAACTGGATCGGCTTAACATGTCTGCCCTCCCACCCCGAGCAGCAAAGCGGCACCGAAAACCTTAATTCATCTTCGTCCCACACATACACCATTAGCCCCACAACACATTGAGTAGGTTGCAAAAGCCCACAGTTCTTAC